TTCATCTTATATTTACTATTGGATTTTTAGCTGTACTTCTTGTGTTGTCATTTAGTGATTGCTGTAGGGAGCAATCAGTCTGTCTTGTATTTGTGTTATGTAACTTCATCTTCCAGATAAGAACCTTTAAAAATCTAACTTTACTTTAGACCTAGCCCTGACCTATGGGAGCAACTGCAATCTGTTGATAAAATGGTTAGAACCTATGGTGCAAAATCACTTAAAGCCATGTCATTATCATATGATAGCCATTGGGAATACACATGTAACTAAGATTTAAAAAACTTTACTCTTTATTATCTTGTTGATTGAGATCATTTGTTTGAGATAAAGTACAAAGCAACCCATAACATTAACTAAAAAGTCCATCAAAAGACTTTTAGAGCAGGGCTTGGTGACACATGCCTGTAATACCAATATTGGGGCTGGAGGATTTTGAGTTTGAAGCCAGCCTGTGCTTACATAATGATTTTGAGTTTAGTTCTGGTCCACATAGCAAGGCATCATCTATCTATCTATCTATCTATCTGTTTATCTGTCTATCTTTCTATCTTTCTGTCTGTCTTTATCTCTCTCTCTCTCTCTCTCTCTCTCTATATATATATATATATATGTAATAAAATAAAAATTTTAAAAAGGACTTTTAGAACTAAGGGAGTGGAGGGAGGAATAAATAAATCTTTGGGAGGGAGGGAAGTAGTGCCTTGTTACACAACACAAGAGACATCCACATTGGGAATGGCATCCTCTGGAGGATGTGGAGGGGACAGCTTCTGCAACTTTTATGGTAGCCCTTGGGTTGACGTTGTTCAGAAAAGATTTACAAACTGGCATGAGAGAAAATTTTAAAGAGATGATTGGGAGTGTTCCAAAGTAAAGGAAGTAGGCAAAGGACCTTAGGCAAAGTCAAATACAGGGAACAGTGAAGAAGAATGGTTAAAATTGTTTGATTACATTAGAATGGTGAAAGATAATGCTAAATAGTTTCTGTATTTTGATTATCTCTACATACACATTTCTTCCCATTTTAACATCTCTGAAATTGACATATATCTTACTATGGTGTCTTGTACTACCATCAGAAATTGAAATTAAGTTATGATTAATGACATCTTGAATATGATGAAACATACATTTGAGGTAGACTTAGTGTCTTTTGAGTTATGCTTTTGTACATAACTGGAAGCGAGACAGACTTTAAATAGAAAAATACCTTGATTAGATTTGTTTAAAATAATATTTTGGTGATCTCCTGTAGGATTCATTGTAAATAAAAAATTGGCAACAATGTAGGAGTTCAAGCAAGGCCTTCAGAGAGGGCCTAGTACAAGTGGGAATGTTTTGAGGGTTCTTGATATAAGTATTTGATAAAACCAAGAAAATGTTACTAAGATGTGGTAGAAAGAAGAATCATGAATGCTAAATTTCTGGGTTTAGAAAGTGTGATTGGTACACTCATTATTAGTGTTTATTTTGGCACCACAGCATAACTAAACATTTCTGCTGGCCAGAGGGATTAATTTAAAGCATTAATATATATCAGTAGTAAAGAAAAAAGAAATCCCAGAAACTTGTATTCATTCTAATACCTATTTCAGCCTAAAATTTGTTAGCTGTTCAACAAAATAATTTAGTACAGGTTTATATTGGATGGAATCCTAAATTATGAGACATTTGAAAGTTACTGATCTCTCCCATCATCCCACCCCCCCCAAGAAAAAAGCTTGTTTAGTTTCTCATCCTCATATCTATTCCAGGAAAAGATTGATCATTATTACTAAACCTAGGCTGGTTTTGCCGTTACGCAGTATACCAATCACTGAAACACAGAGTTTTGCAAAAGAGAAAGGGATTATTCAGGAGATGTTACTCATGTTGAGGTTACATTGGGAGTTAAGAAAGTACGGTTCAGATCTGGTTGCCTGAAGATAGGGTTTAGGGGTATTTATGAAACAAAGTAGCAGAGTGGGCTGAAGTGTGGGAAAGGTGATTGGAAAAGTAAAGTAATTGGTGGTCTGTGCATGCATAATCTAATTTAATGCTCTTCATGGGGTTCATGTTCTGAAAAGGGCAGTGAGGGTGGGGCCTTGTGACATCGAAAGATCACTGATCAGACACGTGTAGAGGCCCAAGTGAAGGGCTGGTAGCTCCAGCCAGTTTGTGCTTCCTCCAGAGTTCCTGAACAACAAGGTAGGCAGCTGTTACCATTGTGACCCATATGTCTGTGGTGTTGCCAAATCGGACTGTATTGCTTAGCTATGTGACCTCTAAAATTGGTGATAAAAGCAAGTGAAGGTAGGGTATTTTGGTTTTATTTAGGTTTTCCCCTGGTTTCACTAGTTATCCCTGTATGAGTCTGTCAGTGTTTTTGGCTATAGACTAGACTTCATTTTCTAACGTAGGATAGAACAAGCCCAAAATAAATGCTTACTTTTATAGTATTATTTTTTTTTAATTACATGGCTTAGTATTTACATGGCTTGGACATGAGTCTATACATATTTGTATTTAAGAAAGTAGCCCTCTTAAGCAATTACTGTTTTAGGACTAGAATAGATAAAGCACTTGCTTAGCATGCTCAATTGAGGCTCTAGGTTTGATCCATAGCAACACCACCACCTATATATGCATATGTGTGTGTGTGTGAGAGTGTCTAAGTGTTGTCATTTAATGAAATCATATAATAGTTGCTCAGTTTGCAAGCACTGATTCAGAGGTAAATGTGACTTGAGTGGTTTAAAGTTATTTGCTTTTGGAGACAATTACATAGTTTTTACTTATAATATCATGATATCTGTGCTACTTCAGAATTTGCTTGTCCCCATCTCTTTATACTGTTGCTACAGTCAGTTCCATGGAGGTTTTGGAGAATTGTAGCCTGATAGCATTTTTCATTAGGGCCCATGCTCTGTGCTACTTCAGTGGGGGACAATAGTCAATGTATAAATAACTTCCTTTTTTGTATTTCAGTCTGGGAGCTTTGAGTCATATTTCATATTTTTTCTGAAAAGTTTGAGCAATAATTATCTATAATGGTGGGGTTGTGGACTAGCAACCTTGTTTGTATTATAGCCTTATAATAAAAATGCATTACAAAAATAAAGCAGATTCTCAAATTAAATATGACAGTTTTTATCTGTTAGTATGCTTTTAGTGGTAAGTAAACAAAAACAGCCTGAAAAGTCTGCATGCTGCAGTGCATGCCTCTAATCCCAGCTCCTCTACAGGTTGAGGCAGGAGGACTGCAAATTTGAGGCCAACCTGGGAAACTTAGCAAGATCTTCTCTGAAAATAAAAATGAAAGAAAAATCTCAGTGGTAGAGTGCTTGCTTAGCATGCATGAGGGCCTGGGTTCAATCCCCAGTACTATAAACAAACAAAAAATATCCCTGCCCCAAACAAAAAGCTGGCTTCAAATTGAAAGAAACAAAATTACTGACCTGTATAAATATGAAAAGTCCAGAAGGTGAATATATTTCCAACAACTGCACTTCATTGATGGCCAGGTTTCTCTTGCATTTTCCTGCTCTGCCTTCTGGGGTGTCATATTTATCCTAAGTCAGCCATAATGGGACCTGGAGATACTTTAAGCTGCTAGCACACACATTCTCAGAGAAGATGTTCAGTATCTGAGCAGTCCTAGAAAAATCCCTGGGTTCGTTATGATTTGACTGACTTAGGTTATATTCCCATTTCTGAAGTGATCACTAAGGCTGGAGAAATTTATTGTGCTGATTACCTTAGGCTTTGGTGTGCTCCAGGGTCAAGCCAGTCAGTCTCCCACTCTACATGAACTGGGGTGGATCGATTCCACTCAGATATTTTGAGTAAGGAAATTTGACGTGTAAAACAGAGGGTGGCAGGGGACAGATGACAAGCATACAGTTCTAGTTATTTATGAGAATGGCTTCAAATGGCCTTAATGTAATATTATTTGGCAACCACAAATCAGATATTATTTATAGTATTATTTACTTATTTTATTAATAAGTAATACAAGAATAATTCACCAGCTAAAATTTTTCCAATCATCTTTCTTAATAATGCATAAAAAATTGCTTCTGACCTTATTTATTTTTTTGTGGTACTGGGGCTTGTACTCAGGGCCTACACCTTGAGTCACTCCACCAGCTCTTTTTTGTGATTGATTTTTTTGTGAGATGGGGGTCTTGCTAACTATTTTCCTGGGCTGGCTTTGAACTGGCATCCTCCTGATTTCTTCTCCTGAGTAGCTAGGATTACAGGTGTGAGCCACTGGTGCCTGGAAAGGATTTTATTGTTTCTGGTGGCACTGGGGCTTGAACTCAGAACCTTCCCCTTGCTACTTTATTGCTTGGGCCACTCTGCAGCTGCCTCTGGTCTTAAATTTGACTTACTTAGTCCCATTAGATTCTTGTTCTTTGTTTGAATTTATTTTTGTCCATTTACATTCAGAAAAAGTTTTTCTAGGAAATCTGATTCAATGTGCTCATATTTTCCTCACACTTTAAAAAAAAATTTTTTTGTGGTACCGAGGCTTGCTAGGCAGGCACTCTGGCAGTTCAGCCACTCTGCCAGTCCCATTCCTCACACTTTTAAAATTTATTTTTTCTTTGGCAGTACTGGGGTTTGAACACAGGGCCTCGTGCTTGCTAGGCATGTGCTCTACCACTTGAGCTACTCTTTTTTTTTGTGTGTTGAGTATTTTCAAGAATCTTGCTAACTATTTGCCTGAACTGGCTTTGAACCACAGTCCTCCTGATCTCTGCCTCCCGATCTCTGCCTCCTGTGTTGTCAGGATTACAGGCATGAGCCATCAATGCCTGGCTTTTCTTTTTTGGATTACAAAACCATATGGCCAGAGATGCCCAGATTCGTACATACTACCTTGTACAAATCAAAGGTTTAATAAACTATTATGTTAGGTTTATATTCAGGATAAAGTAAAGATCTTTAGTTTTATATTTGTGAACTTATTTTCAGAAGTATTTCTAACTTGTGCTTTTATTTGTGTTTTTTAGTGAAAATATCCTCTTTGGAATGGGAAATCCTCTTCTTGACATCTCTGCTGTAGTGGACAAAGATTTCCTTGATAAGTAAGTATTGTACTCTTCCTATGTACAATATGAAACATATCTGAATAATAAACTAATAAAAATTATAGAACTGAATTTACCATAAAACCTTCAACTGGAGAAAAACGCTGGAAATTTAAATGTGTTAATAGCAAGTAGATACTGTTTATTAAATAGTTGGATACAATTTTTCCTGGAACAAGTTATATATTTTGTTCATTCTCATTGCTTCTTTTACTTAGAATTTATCATTTTGAAGGGTAAGATATTTATGATCCAAATGATTAAATTACATTTTTATTACTGTCAGTGAGCTATATCTATAATGGAACCATAATATAAATGGGTGAAGAAAGAAAGACAAAATGAACAGAAAGAAGAAACAAAGTGGACAAGAAGAATATACAAAAAAGATATAATTAAAGTCAACTAATCTCTATTTTTCTTTTTTTTTGTTTTTGGTGGTACTGGGGTTTAAACTCAGGGCTTCCCGCTTGGTAGGCAGGTGCTCTACTGCTTGAGTCACATCTCTACCTCTCTACTTTTCTTTTAATAATAAGTCTCAATGTTGCTAACCTAGCTGAGAAATCACTGTGTGTTTATTTACCTAGTTGTTTAAGACCATTAGGTACATGGGAAAATTAAGTAGTAAAAAAGAATTAATGATAAGAAGTCAAGATCCCCATTTCTTTGCAAACCCTAAATTATGTGCCCAGGACAAACACTTCTTTTTAATTGAAGTAAAATTTGTATAATACAATTAATCATTTTAACTATTTTAAAGTATACAGTTCAGTGACTGCCAGTGCATTCATACTGCAGTTATCATCACTATCTTGATTGAGGACATTTTCATTTCATTAAATAGAAACTCATACCACCAGGCAGGTGTTAACTGTTCCCTCCTTTAGCTCAGTCTCTGGAGAACCATCAATATACTTTTTGTTTCTATGGATTTGCTTCTTCTAGGCATTTCATATAAGTGGAATATGACCTTTTGTGTTTATGTTGATTTATTTTACCAGCATAATGCTACCTATGTTATAGCATGTATCAGGTCTTCATTCCTTTTTATGGTGTAATAACTTTCTATTGAATGATGTCTTCATTCCTTTTTATGGTGTAATAACTTTCTATTGAATGATGTCACATTTTGTTTAAACATTCATTGGTTGGCGACACTTGGATTGTTTCCACTATTGTCTAGGATTATGAACAGTGCTGCTTAGGAACATTCACATTATAAACGTTTGTGTGGAAATATGTTTTCATTTCTCTTGGGTATACACAGAAGATTAGAATGGCTGGGTTATATGCTAAGTCTCTGTTTATCTTTTTAGGAACCATCAAAACTGTTCTCCATAGCAGCTATACCATTTTATATTTCTTTTAGGAAAGTATGAAGCTTCCAATTTCTGTAATCCTTGCCAAAACTTACTTTGCATATAAAAAATTTTCCAGCCATTGTAGTGGTATTGAGTCATAACCTCACCATGGATTTGATTTTCATTTTTCCAGTGACTAATGGTGGCATCTTTTCATGTGCTTACTGGCCATTTGTATGTCTTCAGCAAAATGTCTGCTTTTCTTTGCCCATTTATAATTCATTTATTAATTTTTATTGTTAAATAAAAGTTCTTTATAGATTCTGGATGCTAGACTGTTACCAAGTTCATGACTTGCAAACATTTCTCCCATTCTGTTGATTGGCTTCAGTCTCTTGATAAATGTCCTTTGATGCAGAAAAGTGTTACATTTTGATGAAGTTCAGTTTATGTCTTTTGTTGCTTGTGCTTGTTAATTCCAAGATCATTTATGCTTATGGTTTCCTCTAAGAGTTTTATATTTTTAGCTCTTAAATTTAGGATTTTGTTCCATTTTGAGATTTTTTTTGTTTATCCAGGCATGATAGCACATGCCCATGGATCCTAGCACGTGGGAGGCAGAGGCAGAAGGATCACAAATTTGAGACTAGGCTGGACTGAGGCTGGGGAATGAAAATGGAGGGAGGGAGGAAAGCTTGGTGGAGCACTGAGGATTCTTAAGGCAGTGAAGTGGTTCTGTATTTTTTCTTTTGGCAGTACTGGGGTTTGAACTCAGAGCCTCATGTTTGGTAGGCAGGTGCTCTAACTGAGCCACTCTGCCAGCTCCAGAGTATCCCTTATCTTGAAGTGCTTTTCCTTTGTTTTCTTCTAGTATTGTGTTGAGAAATAAGAATTTACTTTTAGTCTTCTACTTGGATATCCAGTTTTCCCATCAGTACTTGTTAAAAGTGGCCGTCTTTTTATCCAATGTATGTCTTTGGCACCTTTGTCAAGAATTGGATGGCCTTAGCTGTGTGGATATATTTCCAGATGTTTTATTTCATTGGTTTACATGACTCTGTTTTTGTGCCACTACAACATTGTTTTTATTACTATGGCTCTGTAGTTAAGATATTTGCAGCATTACTCTTTTTGCTTAGGATTGCTTTGGCTGTTTGGGGTCTTTGTTCCCGCTGTATGAGTTTTAGGATTGTTTTTCTAGGTCTGTGAAAAAAAAGTCACCGCAATTTTGATGAGGATTTCATTGAATTTATATACTGCCTTTGGTAATATAACCATTTTAATAACTTTTTTTTCTGCTGATCAAACATGAGAATATGGAATTTTTCAGTGCTTTATAGTTTTCACTATAGAGGTCTTTAACATTTTTTGTTAAGTTTATGCCTAGTTTTTTTTTTTTTGAGGCTATTATGAATGGGATTGTTTTCCTAACTTATTTTTCAGCAACTTTGTTGCTAGTGTACACAAAAGCTACTGATTTTTTTTGTATGTGTTAACTTGTGTCCTGATATTTTGTTGGAAGTTTTTATCAGATCTAAGAGTCTTCCTGTGGAGGCTTTAGGATCTTTTAAATATAGGCTTATATCATCTGCATACGGGTAGTTTGACTTTTTCCTTTCCTGTGTATGTATCCCTTTCTTTCTCTTGCCTTGTTGCTTTGTCTAAGATTTCAAGCACTGTGTTGAGTAAGAGTTATAGTGGACAGTAGTGTACAACCTTGTTTCATTCCTGAGGTTTTCTTTTTCTTTTTGACTGGGATTTGAATTCAGGGCTTCATGCTTGCAAAGCAGGTACTGTATCATTTGAGCCACACCTCCAGTCCATCTTGCTCTGGTTATTTTGAAGATGTGGTCTCTTGAACTATTTGCTTGGGCTGGCCTCCTCACTGATCCTCTGGATTTCAACCTCCCAAGTAACTAGGATTACAGACGTGAGCCACCAGCACCCAGCCTCATTCCTGACTTTATAGGAAATGTGTCCAGCTTTTCTCCATTAAGTATAGTGTTGGCTATGGGTCTGTCATATCCCACCTATTATTACATTGCAGTGAGGTCCTTATATTCATAGTTTTTTCATGCTTTTATCATGAAGAGATGTTGGATTTTGTCAAGATTTTTCTGCATCTTTTGAGATGATTATCACATTCTTGGCCTTGTTTTGATCCTGTTTATATGCTGTGTTATGTTTATTGATTTGCATATGTTGAACATCCTTGCATTCCTGGAATGAATTCAAGTTGATCACAATGTGTTGTTGACTTTATTTCAAGAATTTTTTTGAGGATTTTTGCCTATATGTTCATCAAGGAAATTGTCCTATTACTTTTTTTTTGTTCTGTCCTTATCTGGTTTTGGTATCAGGGTAATACTGTCTTCATAGAATGAATTTGTTAGTATTCCTTTCCTTTCTAGTTCATAGGATAGTTTGACAAACACTGCTATTAATTCTTCAAAGGTCTGGCAGAATTTATTTATAAATCCATCTCTTCTTGTGCTTTTCTTTGTTTTGAGGCTTTTTATTACTGTTTCAATCTAATTGCTAGTTATTGAGACCTATTAGGTTTTTTTGTATGTATGTCATATGTATCTAGAAATTTATTCATTTTCCCTCAATATTCCAGTGAATTAGAGTACAAGGTTTCAAAATATTGTCTCATGTTCATTTGAATTTTAGTGGTATCTGTTCTAATATCTCTTTTTTTATATATAATTTTATTAATTTGTGTCTTTTTTTCTTTCTTTTGGTTAGTTTGGCTAAGAATTTGTCAATTTTTGTTTATCCCTTTAAAGAATCAACTCTTTATTTCATCAATCCTTTATTATTCTTTTAGTTTCCATTTCATTAATTTCAGCCCTGATATTATTCTTTCCTTCTCCTAATTTTGGGATTGGCTTATTACTGTTTTTCTGACACCTTTGGGTACATCATTGCACCCGTTGTAGCCCATGTGTTTAGGTATATTGTGTTTTCATTTTCATTTGATTCTAGAAAGTTTTAAATATCCTCCCTGATTTCTTCAGTGATCCACCTGTTTTTCAAAAGTGTATTGTTTGGCTTGTAGGTATGGCTCAAGTGATAGGGTGCCTGCCTAGCAAGTGCAAAGCCTTGAGTTCAAGCCCCAGAACTGCCAAAAAAAACCAAAAAGAGTATTGTTTAGCCTCCATGTATTTGTATATTTTCTCTTGTTTTTTTTTGCTGTTCTAGTTTTATTCCTTTGTGGTCTTATAAAATATAGGAATTCATTTCAGTTTTCTTGTATATGTTAAGACTTGGTTTATTTTCTAAAATATCTGTTTTGGAGAAAATTTCATGGGGTACTCAAAAGAATTTGTTTTCTGAGGTTGTGTAGTTGTCTATTAAGTCTGTTTGATCCATAATGTGATTTGATTTAACTCTGATGTCTCATGGTTGGTTTTTTGCCTTGACCTATCAGTTGGTGAGAGTGGAGTATTGAAGTCACTCACTATTATTGTGTGGTGGTGTATCTGTGCCTTTATATCCAGCAGTGTTTGTTTTATGAAGTTGGCTGAACCAACATTCACTATGTGTATGTTTATAATTTTTATATCCTGTTGATAGAATTTCTTTCTTTCTTTTTTTTTTTTTTTGACAGTACTGGAATCTGAACTTAGGGCCTCACTTGCTAGGTAGGTGCTCTACCACTTGAGCCACTCTGCCAGCCTTTTTTTGGTATCG